AGGCTTCACGTCGGAAACGTTGTGTTTTCTTTCTTCTCTTTTCGGCAGGGAATAAACCTGTTACTTCTTCATTTTGTATTGACGGCACAGTGGCTCAGTGATCAGCAATGCTGCCTCCCAGCACTGGGGCCCTGGGTTCAATTCCAAACCTATGGTGTCTGTCTGTGTGGAGTCTGCATGTTCTCCCCATGTACATGTGGGTTTCCTCCTGGTGCTCTGGTTTCCCCCCACAGTCCAAAGACATGCTGGTGGGCTACATTTCCCAGAAATTGTTTCTGGGAAAATTGCCCTGTAAATGTAAGCATCTGTGTCTGCCCTGTGATGGACTGGTGTGCAGGGTGTACCATGCCTCTTGCTTGCTGGCATAGGCCCCAGCTCCCTTGTGACCCTGGGAGGAGGGTTTTTGTGTTACCCACCCAATTTGCAATGGTCAATTGTGAGTTTTTCATCTCTCGATGGTCAGCTCCTACCCCCATACCTGCACACAGGGAGGATGAGGAAGTTTAGGCCGACCCATCCCACACCTGTCACGCCCTGTACTCCTAGAGGGCTCTCTACCTCTGTCTTGTCCCTAGTTCCCGGTGATTCTTCATGTCTTTCCGGTGTGTCTTGTTGTGAAGCCTATTTACTTCCTGTGTCTGCTCTGCTCCTCGCTCAGCATTGAGTGTTCGGATGTCTTGAGACCCGCCTAGCACCAGGTCACTCCTGTCCATGGCCTGAGGGCATAGGTTTCTACCCAATATCATCTGACCTCCTGAGCCTCTGTGTTGCCGCATTTGCCTCTACACATAGGGTTTTTTTGCTCTCCTGGACATTCCACTGATTGCCCTTCTGACATCTGTGACAACACCCCCACATTCAAACGTCTGTTTCTTGGCATTTCACATGCAGCACACAGCTGGAGGCTAAGCAGCCACTGGAGGAGAGCTGCATCTGAATGCCTGTGAACACCCAGGAGGACACAGGGTCCACTGTGTCACTGAGACCCAAGACAACTCCGGCCAACTAATCCCACCATACTGTACACTTGAATCAACTCAACTTCCACGCGACAATAAGCATAGCTAAAGATAAGACCCAGCCTCCAAAGCAAGATCACAGAGCTCAGCTTCCACTCAGACGAGTGTCTCAGGTTTTCTTTAACTCAGGTTTTTCAGTTTTTTTTTTTAAGTTCTTAAATCTAAAACCATTACACGGCTGAATTTTACAATCACTGCTGTACACTAATGCAACATTCTGCAGCTAGAATCGTGACAAGGTCTAGTGCAAGTGTTCACATTACTCCTATCCTGGAGTCCTTGCACTGGCTTCCGGTCAAATTCCGTGTAGAATTTAAAATCCTCATGCTCACCTATAAGGCTCTGCATGGCTTGGCACCTCAATACCTGTCTGAACTTTTATTGCCCTACTCCCCACCTCGCAACCTTCGCTCATCTAATTCTGCTCTCTCTACTGTCCCCCAAGCTCGTCTACATTGTGTGGGTGACAGGGCCTTCTCCTGTTATGCCCCCAAGCTCTGGAACTCTCTGCCCAAGGATATCAGAGAGTCACCTTCTCTAAACTCCTTCAAATCCAGACTCAAAACCCTCCTTTTCAGAAAAGCCTTTACTTAACTGGTTCCATTCTTCACCCCTCTGCTCTTTTTAGTACCACCATCCACGGTCTCCTCTGTATATTGTTAATGTGTTTTATTTTGTGTATTCTTTTTATTTATTGTTGTGGTCATTCTGTAAAGCGCTTTAAGAAGCCACCTTTAAAGGCCCTATATAAAATAAAGTTTACTATTAACATTATTATATTCTGCCTCCTGCTTCCTCAGTAATACTAATGAAAGTAGAAAGGGCCTGTAAATCAAATGCAAACACGTTTCCTATAACACATAGTCTTTTGGTATCATATAGACAATAAAAAAGAAAAATAACACATTTGAGAGCAGGATTTTATAGCCTAATGAGGTTCATTCATATTATGTCAATAGAATTCAGGCTTTATTATCCCCTGGGATTTTTTTTAACAGCAGAGTCCAACACATCAATACAACGAAAAAAGGCAAACATCACCAACAAAGAATATGGTACGATAATGTTACAGGAGGTAAGAGAGTTATTTCACAATGTTTAAGAGTGAGATTACAGAGTCTATTGCTGTTACCCCTGGAGACACAGAGGCATCTGACAGATGGGAGTAGTATAGCACATACTGTAGGTCTTCATTGTAATTTTTTTTATATATTTAAAGTAATACTTTTTTTTTTCTGGAAAACATAAAGATAGGTTTGCAAAAGAAAGATTCCCTGCCAAACTCTTCTAAAAAGTACCATCTAACATATGCAAACTTACTTGCAAACGCCACAGCTGGGAATTGCTAGTCAACAGAGCTGGGCTGTTTTACCCTTGTCTTGTAATGTAAGGAAGGTGAGTTATTTTATTCTTGAATGTGACATTGTGAGCTTATTTCCAAAGAAACAAGTAATAGGTTTATTTCATGTTGAAAAGAAAAGAGAGAAAACACAACGTTTCGGCTGTGAAGCCTTCTTCAGGAAATCATTTCCTTCCTTTGGTCTTAATGGTACAGTACATCACATTTTAACACAGTTCTAACTAAAGGATTGGATGGGTAATCTATTTACCAAATTTATTTTTTTTAAAGTCCATTCTTTCAGGCCCAGATTTGTGGCCTAGGTGTATCCTTTATCCTTTATCCCAGTCTTTTCCCCAGGTTTTCGGATGTTGATAAATTTCAATAAACATGATGTGTGGAGGATATATGGTGAACTTGGGAGAAAATAAATACCATACAACAACAAACCCTGATAGAACTTTTAACAAGCTTGGATGCCTTAATTAAGGTATGAGAATTAAGATCTCTATATTATCCTACAACTCACAACTGGCAACCCACTGAAGGTAAGCAGATGTGATCCTGGCCAGTACCTGTATGGGAGACCTCCTGGGAAAGCGACGATTGCTTCTTGAAGAGGTATTAGAGGGACCAGGAGGGGGCGCTCACCCTGCAGTCTGTGTGGGTCCTTAT